TTTATCTCTCATAAACTAGTTACATTGTCACTATATTCTCAGATATGTGAGATGACCCATACTCATGTGACTTGCCACCACTTAACACGTGTGACACTTTATATATTTACTTAGGCAATGATCAACCAACCTTATATCCTCCTTATTTTCTCAGACCAAAACTGTGAGTTATAATACTAATTAGGGCTCCATCCGTGTGATTGAACTATCCAAGCTCACTAATTGTGAGGTGTGACCTGGCCAAAGATCACAGAACTCACTCTCAGACCATATCTTCCCCTATTTTCGAATCCCTGAGGTGTCTCATATTCTGGGCTATTCTCCTTATTGAACCGGTGGAGATAGTTAAGCTCTAGTCCCTCGACAAACTATGGGACAATCCCTCGATAAATTGTGGGACAAGACTATACCCCCATGCACCGGAGGACAACCTAAATAACATATGAATTTTCTTTACTCCCAATCCCTAGACAAACTCTTGCTATTGATCATGCCATAATCAATACTCACTTATTTTAACATTTTCATTTTTCATTTTTCATTTACTCATCATCACAACAATCACGTTGAGCTCATGACCATATGCTACCCAAGTATATATTCTCATCATTATTCTCATTTATTTCAAAATCCACTTCTCATTAACATACAAATACCTTTACACATCATCACATTCATTTTTCAAAAACATAAGCATGTTCATAGTAAAAATCCCTTGACTTCGCATTTTAAGCCAAAATAGCATCATGCTCAATCAAATTTTCATACACTCATTGAAAATAATACATGGTTTTACATAAAAATCAATCCCATACATGTAACATTCACAATTCACATTTAATAATCAGTTAATAATTAATTAACATATAACTATCTAAAGTAAAGTTCTCCCAGTTACCTCAAACCTTTGAGAAATTAAAGGTTTACCCCTTAATGTAGTAGCTTTCAAGCTTGAATTCCCAAGCCAAATAGGTGACCAAGAGCTAAAATTACAATCAACCAAGTTGAATTTTATCAATATTACCAACTTAAGCAGTTAAACCCTCAATCTCCATTTCTAAATTGCCCAACATTCACTTCACATGAGTTGGAGCCCATTCATTGAGTTTAATTACTAACTTTAATTCTCAATAACATTAATGAGCCATTAAATTCTCATTAATGTCATCACAATCCTCCAGCCACCCATAATAAATAAGATTTTTGGATATTAACGGTGCCTAACAACCCAAGACACCAAATATCATAATACCTAGGTTTGAATACTTTAATCTACTCCCATTAACTCCATTTAAGTTAATAAATTTAGGTCCATAACCTATATGAATTGAAATTCTACTTCTACTATCAAATCTTAATCATAAACTCATAAATGTGAAAGAAATAGGGAGATTAATGAGTATGATACTTACCTTGGGTGTTTGTAGCCTTCAATATACTCCCAATGTCGTCTATAAGTAAACTCTAGCAGAGCTTGATGTATCTCTCTATTTTCTCTTTTCTTTCTCTCTATTTCTGTCTCATTTTATGTTTGATAAACTGCAAAAAATGGCCATGCACCATGGCGCATGACACAGAGAAGTCCTCCCTCATTCAAAAATGTATGTGCACTATGGCGGATGATCTACACGTCGTGGTGTATGGCACAGCAATATCAACTCTTTCCTTTCTTCTCTTTTTGATGCCTGGGTAGCCCGTCTTGATATCAGACCCACAATTAGAGTTAAAATATTATTAAATATGATTATTAGACCTCTCTAGCCAATACACCACTTCAACTTACTTAATTACCCTAATTAAGTTTAATTAATTAGGGGATGAAAACTGGGGATGTTACATGGGTAACATGCAATCAAACTTTGTATTTACATAATTGCTTTAATGTGTATTAAACATGCAAAAGTGATTGCGAAATGTGTTTTAAGTTGTAAAACTAATGTTCAAAATGAATTGTACTTTACAATATAGTTTGAATGAGTAGTTGATGATGAGCTTGATAAAGATGAGTATGTGAGATTGAAAATGATGAGTTTTATGTGATATAAGTGAAAATGAGACTTGACGATCACTTGGGTAGTGTACAGTCATGAGTCTAACGTGTTGATTTTGATAACAAACAAATAAGATTGTAAAAAATGAGTGAGTATCATACATGGCATGATCAATGGGTGAGAGTTTGCTTAAGGATTGGAAGTAGAGAAAATTTATATGGTATTTAGGCTACCCTTCAATGCACGAGGGTATAGTCTTGTCTCACAGTTTGTCAAGGAATTATCCCATAGTTTATCGAGGGACAAAAACATAGCTTTCTCCGCCATTTTATCAAGGAGAATAGCTTAGGGTATACAACACCTCAGAGATTTAAAAGTGCAAAAAATCATGATCCGAGAGTGAGTTATGTATCTTTGGCCGAGTCATACCTCACAATTACTAAGCTTAGGTAGTTCAATCACATGAACGGAATCCTATTCAGTATTATAGCCCACAGTTTCAGTCTGACGAAATAAGAAGAGTATCATTACTAGAAAAATTGAATTTAACAAGGGACGAATCCCTCGCTAAATGCCATTTTTCATAGCTAAATTACATTTTAGCTATAAATTTTGTCCCTCGTTAAATTCGTAGCTAAAACAGGGCTCGCTAAATTTAGCGAGGAATTGTATTTCCCTCACTAATTAGTGAGGGATTTAATCCCTCGCTAAAATTAGCTAGGGACTGAATCCCTCGCTAATCCCTTACTAAATATGCTTATATTTAAAAATAATTATGCCACATCACCTGTCATGTGTGATGTCAACTTATGACATGTCATAAATAACCTCATGCTTTGCAACTACCATGTCACCTACCATCTCGTGCTCTATCACCCATTACATGTGCGACAACTCATGACATGTCATTGTCTACCTTGTGCCATGTTACTTGCTCCTTACCATATCATATATTCATCATGTTTATGCTAAAGCCAAGATTTGAACTCTTGACCTCATACCTTCCAAGCTTTATGCTCTCTTTCTTTGCCAGTTGAATTGAAAGGCACCTACAAGCATTATATGATAAATTAAATATATATATATATATATATATTATTTAACTACATAAATATATCAAATAATATATTATAGAAATACACACATATACATATTAAATTTTATTTTCAATTATTAATATGTTAAAAATATTTATATTTTATTTAAATTATTCTTTATATTATATTTTTAATAAAATATTATTTTATTAATGAAAATCAACTTAAAATAAATAAAATATTAAATAATTTTATTATGAATATTTTAGTTAATTTTTAAATTTAATTATTATTTTTAAATGAAAATAATTAAATGTATAATTAAAAGTCATTGCCAAAAGGTAATTTTTTTTATAGTAATTAGCTAGGGATAGAATTCGTCGCTAAATTCCTCGTTAATTATCTTATTTTAGAGAGGGATCGACAATCCTCTCTAAATCCCTCGCTAATTATCTTATTTTAGAGAGGGATTGACAGTCCCTCACTATTTTCCTCGCTAATTCTCTTATTTTAGAGAGGGATTGACAATCCCTCGCTAATTTTCTCGCTAATTTTAAGTCAAGCTACAAAATCAACATTTCTCGCTAATTTCCTCGCTAACTTGGTATTTTAGAGAGGAATAGATGATCCCTCACTAAATTTCCTTGCTAATTTACATTTTTCTAATAGTGTATAAGGTTAGTTGATCATTGCCTATGTAACTATATGACGTGCCATATGTTTAAGTTGTGACAAGTCGTGTTGATATATTGGGTCATAGTTACATGTTTGAGTGTCTTATAACAATGTACCTAGTCTTTGTGAGATGCAAATATGTTAATTAGAGTGATAAGTTATTATATGTGTTTAAGCATATTTTAAGAACTTGTTTTATAAGCATGTGTTTAATTACAATTGATATATAACTACAAAGGATAGGTTTTACCTTAGTTACTGAGTGGCTAGACTTATTCCTTTCATTTAACATTTTACAGGCTCTAGCTCTAGTATAGAGAGGGAGAAAGCTCAGGAAGTTTAGGAATTAGTACATTTCTATTGTATGCCTTTATGTTAAGCTATTTATTTTCTGTAATAAACTATGATTGCCAATTTTAGGATGCATTTTTGTTTATACTTGTACTATAAAGTTGTTTAAAGTGTCTGGGTTGTATCTTGGGCCTTAAGTAGTTGTTGTGATAATTCGTAAATGTTCATAGGGTCAAAATACTATTGTAAGTATAGAAATATTGTTTTAGACATGATATGATAGTATAGATAATTTGTACAAATAGTCTTAAGTCCAATGAATATGGTCTGGGTGTTAAGAAAGGCTATTGGCACTTGTTTTGAGTTTTTGACACTCTTTTGATATGAAAAGTTGTGAAAAATGATGAAAGTATGTTTGGATATTCAACTTCTTGGTGTGACTTGTTTTGAAAGTGAAACCGATGTCATTAATTAGTTTATGGAAATAGCTTTTCATAAATACTTAGATCATGTCATTTGGATGTTGGACGGAGAATTGGGGCATGTCAAAAATTACCCGATTCTGCTATTAAAAGAGTGCAACACGCCATGGCGCCTAAGTTGTAGCGCATTGCTTTGTTTTTCAGTAAACTTAATGTTTTTCAACTACTTCTAATTTCTTTCACTCTTATGAGGTATTTTACATTTCTGTAACTTATTTTTACTCTAATTTAAGAATTTATGAATGGTTTAAACTTATTTTGATTATAAAAACTTGAGATCTCTTGATTTGAAATTAAAACTTAATAATTTTCAATTAAGATTAATCCCTTGATTACCTTGATTAATGGTTTTCATGATGATTAGATGAGGTGGATATTTCAAAGACAACTTTCTCCAATTAGAATTAGATGTCAACATAACGTCGTTTACATCGAATCTTGGTGATTTAAGTAACCAATGCAAGAAATTATTGTACCACACATTCTAGAATAATTTACGAACGAGAAAACACAGGGAGAAAGAAAATTGTTTTGCCATGTTTCTCTGTTTATCTCTTGAGATTATGCTACAAACTCAGGTTGGACATACGAAATGGAAATTATTTTTGGAGGTTCTTCTTTCTGTCCATTCCATGGAGATAAGAAATCCAAATTCATTTCCATATTTTTGGGTCCCTTTCGACTGAATAAGAAAAACCATAACCCTAAAGACAATGACACTATAGCATGTAGAAATAGTTTTCTTTCCAATGCGACCAAAACCATCAACATCATCAAGGACCAACTACACCACAGATTTCCTTTTTTTTTTTTTTTAACCCTTCAGCTTAGCATTTGCATAGAACCACCCACCATCTGGCACGGTTGATGATAATCCTTCATGAAAGTAGAATAATTATTGATGTGATGATTGAGGCTGGGTACGCCAAAACCCATGGCCCTACTCGCTCCTGCTTGTTCCAGCGTCTGCACTTGCTTCTTCAAGAACTTGACGTAATGTATAGCTTCGTCCAACATTGATGCCGTGTCCATTTTCGTCCCTCCTGGAACCAATCTCTGCAGAATCCTAATCCTCTCGCTTATTCTCTCCCTCCTGTGCCTCGCCGCCACGCTCTGTGGATCCTTCGATATCTTCACGTTCCTTCGCTTCGGAGGCTTGATGGATTCAGGGTCTATGTGAATAGGTTGCATCACTGCTATACGGAATATCATCTCTCTCATCGCCGCCATGGAATTCTTTTTCTCAGAAGAACAAGCATTGGGGTTAATATCAGTATTAATATTCCCGACCCCAACCTCTTTGGGTTGAACTAGGTGTGGTGTCACGGGTTGTGGGATTGGATTAATAGCAGTGTTGGTGGCGAAGGGATTTGGTGGAGGAGGGTTGATCATGTTATTGTGGAGTATGGGCTGACTGCTGGTGGTGGTGCAGAATGGAGGTTCTGGGTAAAAAGGTTCAGAGAATTCAGGAAACTTTTCCATCTGCATCATCATTGCCATCATGTCCATGCTTCTGTCATCCACGTCCATGAAGTTTTCAGAGACAGGAGGGAATGGAACGGAAAAGAGATAGAGGAGAGGAACAGAAGAAGAAGCGATTTGATAACAGAGAGTATGGGAGGGCTGAGAAATCGGGTAAGGAAAAGTAGGGTTTTTATCAGAAAGAAGGCATAAGGAGATTTAGAGACACACACACAGAAAGAATATATATATAATAATATATCAGAGTGAGGATAGATGATTGTCACTGGAACCGACCAACACTGTAAGTGGAATTGGGCTTTTTATAGCAACTTGTGGAAATATTATATATAAATAATCTGAGACAGAAGCTTATTAATGATTATCGAGTTATATCTCTGGTAATTATATTGCGGATAGAGAAAGCCCATCATGTGTGGGGTTAGCTCCAAATGAGAAGGTTGATTTTGGACCGTTGATGATGTAGATTTGGGAGAGCTCAACGGTGATGGACGATGGAGATGGAGGAAGGAGGGACCACAGAGGAGCAGTAGAGCTGGTGTGGGGTTAGATGGATTGAATCAATGAATGCGGATCGATGCCGGTGCATGAACCAGATTGCTTCATAGTATATATGCGACCATCTTGACTGAAAGTAGCTTGCTTTGCCTTTCAAAATTTTACTTTACAAGATAGAGCCGCTCACTAGCCCCACAATCACATGACATTTGTCAGAACCCAAGAAGATTTAAAAAAAAAAAAAAAATAACACAACCCTGGCTATAATGTTCCATTAGGATGAGCTCCGTCACCGGCAAAAGGTGGCGTAAGGATGAGATAGATAAAGAATTAAGTGAACCCCAAGTGTTTATAGAGTCAGAAATAAGAATCAAATTTAAAATGCCGCTCATTTTTATAAGAGTTCGAGTTTGAAAAAAATAACATTTTTCAAGAAAATCATGCTTTTAAGCCTGGCTTGATAAGTCCTAAAAAAATGGGTTAGGGTTCGAACTGCCCTTTTAAATTCGTTTTTATTTTTTCCTTAAAAATAAAATATTTTTAATTTTAAAATTGAATTTAAACTTTAAAATATTTATTTATACTTTAAAATTAAAATTTTTATTATTTATTTTTAATTTTTAAACATTATAATTTGTATTTTTAAAAAATATATAAAATATTATAATTAAAATTTTTAATTTTTAAAATTTCAAAAAAGATAATAATAAGGGCTTACGGGCCTGACCCTTACCCTTTATATATAAGAGTCAGGTTTTAAAAAATGAAAAATTTTAAGGAAACCAGGCTCAAGGATTCAAGTCTATAAAAGTCGAGCTCATAAGGGTTGAGCCCGCCCATTTCCCAATCCTGTGCTGTGTAGGTATATATATGCATGTATGTAATGTATACAGCCAATAAAAATGGGTTCAATTAATAAAAATTAAGCTCATAGATTCAAATTCCATGTAAAGTTAAATTTCATCATCAATATGAAAACTTTATTAGTAAGTAATTTGTAATTATTCATCTAAACGTTTTTTGAGTTCAGAGAAATGTTTCAGTTTCATCATAGCATGGCCCGGACAACTAGCTTACCTAAATTTTTATTTTAGAATAAGAGAATTTTACAAATTCTTTTTGCCTAAACTCTTGCACATAATAAGAAGAAGAAAGGGTGAAGAAAATTGAATTTGAAATTAATGCAGAGAAGGGGAATAAATTGGAAAGGAAAGGAATCAAAGTTGGGCTGGATCCTAACGAATCACATCTCAGTGGGCACGCTCTTCCAGGAGGATTGGGAGCTTGCGGTGGAGAAGTTGTTGATCATTCATTTACTGGGGACCCTTCCACACACACACACACACACACACAAAACTTATTATTACTGCTGCATGCATAGTGTTCATCTTTTACTGATCAATCATTTTCTGGCGTCTCTCCTCTCTCTCTTTTATTTGATTCGTAATGGTAGTGAGCTTTATGTTACTTAGTTGCTTTTCAGTATTCACAACAGATGCAAGTTAATTAATGCTGTGATTATGACTTCAAATATAAAATATAAAGTCAATATCGGCGTACACTACAAGATTTATATGCGTGTGTACGCACCGTCCATATCTAGTTCTTCCTCAATCCGTTTTGTACCTAAAATATGTGCGTGCGAATGCTCACTTCAATTCCCTTCATTCTCTTTATATGATATTTAATTTATATGTGCTTCCAACTTATGAACAATTTGAAATGTAAATAATTTCTTTTACATTGCCTTGGAATCACTAATAGTGTCATGCAGATAGATAATACTTAAAATCTAAGCTTCTCTGTTGCAGGGACCCATAGAGAGTGTGTTTTGAAAGGTACAGAGAGGATAGCGAGAGAGAGAGAGAGAGATGAGGACATAAAAAAAAAATGAGAATATATATAATGGAGTATGGTAATGTATGAGGAAGCAGAAGAGATAAGGAGATAAGCTGCTAATTATTTTATTGCACAGAGAGAGTGGTCCCTCACCTGTTACATCTATTCATGACTGATCTTCCTCAATTAACAGGGATTAAATTCACATTCACCGGAATTGCGTAAAACAAGAACTAAAGTGATGGAGTAACCTTTGAGGTTGTCTGGGCTTTAGTTTTTGTACAAGGGGTCTGAGAAAAAGGAAAGCAAAATTATGGAAGGACGAAGCACATAAGGTACGAGATCCAGAACTTTCTGGATTTGACAGTGAACGGTTAAAGGGAAACTATAAAAGGGACGCTACAAGTCTCCTTTGCACTTACATTGTGCAGTAGCTTTGTGAAAGGGATTTATGAAGCAGCAGAGTCAACTCTAACAATTAATTATCTTCTACTGCTACCTGATCTAACTAGGTATCAATTCATCATCTTCACCGTTTAAACTTTTTATATATTTAGTAGTGTATTAGAGGCTTCTTCCTGCACACACACACACACACACACACACACACACACACACACATAACCTTGATTCAAACAGTCCCTCTCTCTACACACTCACCATTGATTGAGCCTAAAGGGAGACTCGCACACCCATTCAAGGTCTCTTCCAAGCAACGGGGTGTATTTAACCATTAGCAATGCTAATGGTTACCATTGAGACAACTAGCCTTTGAGAAGGGGGTTAAAATATCAGGGGATTGTATTTAACCATTACACGTGGTGGCTTACATTAGAGCTTTGTGGACATCGAATGCACAAAAACAGGGAAAAAAAAACTGTAAATATAATTCTATTAATATCTCATTCATGATCTTTTGCCGAATTGGAATCTTCTGAAATTGTTGGAACTTTGAAAGTTTGAAAAAATATTCTTATAATGAGATGGAAATAAAATAACAAAAAAAAAACGCATAAATCTAGAGCACATGACTTCACAAGAAAATCAATTTTCATCCTTCTCAATCTACTTTCTGTGTGATTATTTACAACATCCAATATCAAACTACAATGTTAACGATGAATGTTAAACAGTGCAATTAGCACCAAATTACAACACATTGTAATGCATTTCAACATGAATCTTTGTTTCATATTTAAGGCCTGTTTGGATAACCCTCAAAAGTACATCCAAATTATATTTATGATGTGTTTTTGCCAAATCTAACAAGTAGTTGGATCCCTCAAATGCACTTTTGACATATGCAAACTAAGATCCAAATAGGTAATTAATTAAGTTAGGGAAAATTAATTTTTTTAATCTTCTAACTTTTAATTCACTTGTAACTCAATCTTTAAACTATGACTCATTGTAACTCAATTTATCAACTATGACCCACCTATGACTTAATCGTTCAACTTTTGACTTATTTATAATTTAATCTATCAACTTTTGTTAATTCTCTTTTTTTATGTTATCTTATATCTCATATCAAAAAACAAGAAGAGGGCATTTCAGAATAATATATGATCATTTCTTTTATTCCTCTTATTTGATAATAATTTTTTAAAAAAATATTAGAAAATAAGGACTGAATTATAAGTGAATTAAAAGTTGAGAAATTGAGTTGCAGCGAATTATAATTGAGAAACTGAGTTACAAATAAGTTAAAAGTTGAAAGAATAAAAAATTAATTTTTCATTAAATTATACAAAAGTGAAATAAAAACTAGCGGGCATTTTTGACGCACCAATCGTTAAAGCAAAGTAATCCCACAATAAAAAATTGAATGATACTCTTGAAAAAGTCATAGTGCATTAATGTTTAACATTTGACAACATTGTACTCTTCAAAAAGACGTGATGCATGAAGTTAAGTATAGAGGAGCAAATGATAAAAATGAAGACAATGAAGACATTAGGTAAGAAGATGTAGAAGGTGAATTTTGGTTCCGCAGAACGCAATTAGCCGTGGGCTTCTTTACCCAAAAAAACTTGGATCAAGGATTCTGCTTCGGTGTATATACTGGCCTGAAAGTCGATGCACTAGGTTTTGTTAACATGGATTATAAAGTGGCCCAGCACATATCAAAATAGCATCATTCCAAGAGGCCCAAAAGGAAGAACATTTTCGAAGGGGGGGGAAAACAACGACTATGAATAAAGCAGCAAATACAGATGGAATCAAATAAAACCGTGCGAGAGATATAAAAATAATTATCACAATGTAAAGTCACTACCAGAGCAAGTTATTCGAATTCACAGCCCTCAGAGACAATATGTCATTGCCGGAACTCAGATATGTGTGTAGTGTATATGATAAGGTGGTTGCCAGCAACTCAATTACTCAAACATCGAGCAAGTTCGAAGGAAAGATGAAGAAGGGAAAGGCGCTCAGTGACCTCACGGACTTGCTGAGTAAAAGCATTCACCTTCTGCACTATTTCCCCTTTTTTTGCACTGTGAAAACAATTACGTTTCTCCTTCAGAAAATTAATTGTTTGATTTTTATAACAGTAACTCACCTGAAACTCATTATCTAAAACTTGGTACAATTCAATTTTTATAAATATAATTTGATTATAATTTAGTTCTTAAATTTTAACTTCATAAATATATAAGTCAATTCATATAATTTCAATAATTTAAAACATTATTTCATTTATTTAAAAAATAAATTACTTTTAATTAAATCTCACATCCAATAAAGTAGCTACTTTTCTTCAAGTTTACATAATCTTTTCATATTTATTTTTATTTAATAAATTATTTCACTCAAATAAATATAAAGTGATTTATTTATTAAGGGTACTTTAAAAAAATGTTACAATTATATTTTAAAATACTAAAAATATCTTATATTTATAAATATATAACTATTTAAAAAATATCTTATATTTTTAAATAGAGAGAGTAGTTCTTAAGATTTTAAAAATAACTTTAGTATTTATAGTTTTAATTTCTAAAGTCTAATGATTGAATTTTAAATGAATTAAAATTATAAAAAATTGAGATATATGATATGGAATTAAAGCTTGATGGCTACATTTTGACGGAAACAAAGCTACTAAACTAAATGATTAATTTCACTTTTACTGGTCTACCTCGAAGAGAAAATGAATAAAGTAAATAAAAGACATTCTTGCTTGGCCCCATAGGAACAGGAAGTTCTTTTTTTTTTCTGATGAACCAAGTTAAATGTACTATTTTTTTAATGAAGTTTTAAAAATATAAGATATTTTTTAAAATTTAGATATTAAAAAATATAAAATATTTTTAAGTATTTCAAAATATAATCATTATTTTTTTAAAAAAATATTTTTAATAAATAAATTATTTTATATTTATTTTAGATGAAAACATTTTATTAAATAATAGTATATATAAAAATATAATAATAATTTAAAGATAAATAATTATGTATTAGAGGTGGCACTTAAAAATATTTTATATTTTTAAATAATGGATCACTAATTTAAAAGGAAAAATTTCATTGAGGACCCTCTGACCGCACTTAATAAAAAAGAAGACCCCAAAAATACCGATATATCACTTAACAAAAGAGGCGTTGATTTGAAATTAAATTTTATAGCCAAATGATAATATTGCCCCTCATTATAAGAACAGAGAAAAAAGCTCTGTTAGCTTAACCACGACATATATGTATTGTAAATCCATTTCAAACCTGAACTAACATTTCCATTTTAGACTTGAACTAATAGAATCTCCCTTAAGCGAGGGGCAAAATTTCACTCAAGAACATTCTCATCTCACCCATTACCGCACACATCTTCAATAAGCACAGATAACACACTTAAACTTCTCAAACTCTCAAATTTAAAGATTAGTAACACCTCCATCATTGGAATTCGTACCAAAAAATCTCCCTTGACCGAGTCACTATTATAACAAACAAGTGTGGTAAGAAAATTAATAACTGTTGTAAGGTAATTAACCACACATACTAAAGTGACGAACAAGTCACATGATATCATATCGGTATGATCATGTTTTGCTGATATGTTTTACTTGAAATTCTTTCAAACATATACAATATATCAAAAGCATATCGGTATATCATAAACATATTGGTATATTATAGACTTACCGATATGTTTTACTTGGAGTTTTTTCATCTTGTAACTAACAAGTGCAATAAGAAAATTAATAATTATTGTAAGGTAATTAACCACACGCACTAAGGTGACAAATAAGTCATTCAAACACAAAATCATACCAATATGATCATGTTTTACTTAAAATTCTTTCAATACATATTGGTGTATCAGAAACATATCGATATATTATAGACATATTAGTATATCATAGACTTACCGGTATATTTTGCTTGGAATTCTTTTATGTTATAACAAACAAATACAGTAAGGAAATTAACAACTATCGTAAGGTGATTAGCCACATGTGTTAAAGCAATGAACACGTCATCCAAACATGAAATCATACCATTATATTAGACACATGCCGGCATGACATGTACGTTTTCCCTGTCATTTTTTGGCACGTTACCCACAGTTCTTTTTTCATCAAATGATTCTTGTGCAGGAACTCTGACGATGTAGATGCTGTTGATCTTTAGATGCCCTAATTTAAGTCCTAAAGAGATTTGAATCTCTATTCATATTTTTTGTATTTTAATATTTGTAATTATAATAAATAATTCTCACTTGTAATTAATTATATATTAGAGTTGATCCTTTAATTTAAGTCCTAGAAGTCAATGGTGGTCTCACTAATTTTCAGATGTCTTAGTTTACATCTTCAAAAGATTTATCTCCGGTGATAGAAGTGTTTGTCATCTTCAATATCATTGCATGTGTTATTTGTTTTCTTAATCTACATTCATCTTTTTTTTTTTAATGAGGACAATATTATTATTTGATCATAAAATTTAATCTCATATCAATGCTTTTGTCCTACAATGACATATCAATATTTTTGAGATTTTCTTTTTGATTAAATGTGGCCGAGGGTCTTGATTGAAATTTGCCCAATTTAAAAGCACAGGTCGTCCTATCCGCGGCGTCTTTATTTGGGACCGTTGCGCAGGGTGACCGAGAGACAGGATCCCCTACATGATTTTCCTATTGTCTTCCTTAGTCAGTCCAATCAACTGCGTCCTACGCATATATATCAAATTCTAAATGCCTTATCTCACATCAAAACGACAAAGCTATCAAATGTACACTGCAGTACTTAAAGCTGGGCGTCTGCGCCGAACCACACCTGATAACAACAGAACCAGGAAGCAGCGGCCCGCTAATAGAGGCACGCTTTCATTGAGACATTGATGAGCACAGCTGTACACCAATCCTGCTTCCTCCTCCATGTGACTCCCCTCTCTCTCCTCTGTCCCCTCTCTCTCTGTCCCCCCTCCCCCCCACGGTTCGCCCATTAAACCTAAATCTCAATCTCAATCTCGCCCTCACACTCACACTCCATACAATACATTCTCTCTCTGACTATCTTCTTCCATGGCTTCTCCAGCTCTGTTCTCCAAACTCACTCTACTGGTTTCTCTTTTGATGTATCTGAGTCTAAGCCGCAACGTGGGCGGTGCAGAGATGGACAAAACGAGCCTGAAGCTGATGTCTGATGCTCTGGAATGGCCCACCACAATGTCGGTCCACGATGAGCTGGAGGACGCTGGAGAAGATGCCATGGACGGTGGTTTTAGCCGGAGATCTCTGTACTGGCACAGAATGAGGTACTACATCTCCTACGGTGCGCTCTCGGCCAACAGAATCCCCTGCCCTCCACGCTCCGGCCGATCTTACTATACTCACAACTGTTTCAAGGCGAGAGGCCCAGTTCACCCTTACTCCAGAGGTTGCTCTGCCATCACGCGTTGCAGAAGATGAATCGCTTCTTTGATATCTTGCTTATAAAGTTGCTTTCTTTGTGATAATATGATATCGTAGTGATTATTAGTGTGTGCGTGTCGCGATTATCTGTGTTTTGAGGTTAGATTATGAGATGGATTCGTGGAGTTTGTAGCAATAACATGGACTCGTTGCTGCAGAAATGGGAGTGCCCTTCTTGTGTGATCACCAATTTATTCCTTTGTATAAATTATTGTAAAACTTTCAAGTCTATCAGATTATACTATAGTGTGATTGTTCCTCGTTAACGATGAGCATCGACTTGTTTGATCTGGGCACTTTACGTTCGTATCGATTTGTCTGACGAACTTGCATTTTGATCTGTCTTCTGTTCTAACATCATGTTTGGGTCGTAAGTTTGAAATCCAGCTTATAGATACTATCATCAAGATTCTGTCATCTCGTAACTGGGTCATTACTTATATTAATTAAAAAAACAGTTAATTCATTCAGCTTCTCATGAAATTAAGCAGCTGAGAAGAATAGGGCAAGTAAGTAAATTCTGCGTATCAGCAATGAGGAATCCAGAGAATAATTTGGTAGTTAAAAGGGTTTTAACTTTTTGAACTAACTAAACCGACAAGGGCAAAAGCATTCAAAGCAGTGTTACTAACTCATCGATTACATTAAATGAGCTAACCGATTAGTTGACAGGAATTCTACCCGCTCTGTTGCGTAATCCTTGTGATGTGAATCAATATTGATGGGTTCAATAAACTTTCACAACTGAAAATGGGCAGAGGGAAAAGTATTCGAGTTTCAAAGCTTTTGTTCATCCATGAATATAATAAGGAAGCCATCCATCTTAATTATGTATTTCTAGTCAGTCCAAATCTGAATTGTTTGTCAATTGCTGAGCTGACATTTGAGAGGTGACCAAAAAAAAAGAATGATGCTGATGCCGTGCATCCAGTGTATCACAATCTGCTGAGGCTGTGATAAATTATTAAAATCTAAAACAGTGGTTTAGAGCTTCGGAGGAGGAAGGTCCATCCACATATGACTGAAACTTGAAAAATGACAGAAAGCTATGATGCCTCTCCTCTAGATTTTTTCTTGTGTATGTTTGCTGGCTTACTGGAAGATTATTTGTTGTCTTATTTTATCGGAGGACTGTGATACTCTGGGCGGGAAATCTGGTTGGGAAATCCGGTTTTGTTATGATTGACGAATCTCTTGGGTTTGTCATCCCAATAAAAGTTGTGTTATCATCCTCACGGGCCTTTGTTGGTGTCCGAAAATGTTGCCCGACGTGTCAGGTTGATGGCCGGCCCATTTGAACCACTTTTTTTTTTTTAAATAATTACCTTAATTTTTAAATTAAATTTAAATAGGATATGTTTATATTTTAAAATTAAAATTTGTATTGCTTATTTTTATTAAATATTATAATTTTTATTGTAAAAAAGAATATATAATATTTTAATGTAAAAATTAAATTTAAAAAATAAAATAAAAAATTAAAAAATTTATGGGCTTCATTTTGAGCCCAATCAATAAGGTTTGGATTACAAAATAACTGGTTTTATGATAATTTAGGACATGTTTGAAAATATTTTTATTTTATTATTTTAAGAATTGATGTTTTGTAAAGTATACTTTAAAAATAAAAAATAATAAAAATATATTTTTTTATTTTTTATTCTTCAAAACAATAATTTTAGAATATCTAAATTTTTTTATTTTTCGTACAATATTTATTTTTTTATTTTTTAAAATACTTTGAAAAGATGTTACTAAATAAATGTTTTTATTTTTATTTTTTTTAAAGAATAAAAAACTGTTGTCAAAATAAATTCCCAAACTGGTATCTAATATTTGGGCTTGAGCTCGCATCGAACGAGCTGGCAGCTCTTTGTTGGGATTTGACAATATTTAAAATTGATTCACAACGATTGAAGATTTTTTTTTTTTGGGTTTTGGGTAATGACCTTAGTTGTGGAGCCCAAGAAGCCATTCGATTGTTTGGTTGAATTGAACTTGTAATGGCCGTTTTTTTGAGAATGTCATTTTCTTTTTGTCCTTGGAACAGGCCAATAGGGAAGATTGCTTTCCCAGCTTAAATAATATACGGTCTTCACTTTTCCCATCTCAATCATTTATATTATTTTATTAAATAAATTTTTTAAAATTATAAAATTAATGAATTGTTGAAATAGAAAAAATGAAGAGAAATGAAGGGAAAGAAATGGAGAGGTTCCTCTCTCAGAATATGCAAGACTGGATGAGAATGGGTTAGAAGATGGGGAGAATAAATGAATAATAGTCAAGTGTTAAAAGAGGGAATTAATGACAATTATATTTTTTAAATTTTTTTAAAAATAAATTATAAATATCAATTTAAGTAATTATAAATTTAGGAGTTTTAATTATAAACAAAATATTTGAAGTCTAAATATAACTTTAAGTTTATAATTGGTATTACAGTTTGCAATTATTTGAATTAATATTTGTAACTTATTTTTTTTAATTTTTTTTGTAGAAGACCTAATTGTCATTGATTCTCTTTTTGGGGACTTTAATGTCATTCTCGCTATAAAATACTCTCTTCTATCTATAATATAAGATATTTTCCAAAGGCATTGTTTAATATAGGGTATTTAGTAGTTGTTATATTTTTTAAAATATAACCTTACTTCATTTATTATTAATTTAAAAAAAATAGTTTTTAAAACTTCAATTATCGCTATTAAGACACTTATATAACATATTTAATAGGGATATAATTAAAAATATATACAACTTTTTACAAATTTAGAGCTTGTTTGACAATATATTTTGGGAACATTTTTTTTATTTTGCAAAAGAAAAAAACAAAAAAAATATTTGGTAATATGTTTCAAAAAATATTTTGAAGAATAAAAAAATAAACTATTATTTTAAAAAATAAAAAAATAAAGATATTTTTTAGGTATTTTAAAATTATTATTTTAAAGAATAAGAGAGAATGAAAAAAAATTTATTTTTATTATTTTTTATTCTTAAAATATATTATACAAAAACATCAGTTCTCAAAATAGTAAAATAAAAATAGCTTTAAACAAATCCTAAGTTTTCAACTATTTTTTTAAAAATTATAAATTTACCCATACTTTATATTATAAATAAAAAATAGTAGTTAAAAACCTGAATTTTTTTTAATACATTAAACACTTGAATTTGTCAACGGGAGAAAATGTAACTGGTCATCTTCATAGAGAAATTATTGAGGCAACTAAAAATTGCTGAAAAGAGGGATTGTAATATTTTGCTTAGACAGACATTATATTTTTGAGGCCACCGGATTGGCTAATTTGCCTTTAATTAAAGTCCACCCTTGATATGCACGGTGAAAGTTGATGAAAGGGTGACCGATGATTTTTGGTTTGTTAGTCTTTTTTTTTTTTTTTGTATTTTTGTCTCCATTACTGATTAATTCAAGTTCTTCGTATTATTCATATATTGTGATTCTTTTAAAGTTATAACCATATCTTTAATTTCAAATTTATAACTAAATATTAAGAAAAATAATTCATTAGTAATTAAACCCGCTCAGTGCAATTTTTCTTATAAAATTTATATAATTAGGTTTTTTTTCTAAATAATTTTTATATATGTGAAATTTTTACAAAAAATTAATAAAAATGTAAATATTGAATTAAATAATTTTTTTAAAAGCATCAAATCAAATTTCCTATAAATTTAAAAGTGTATTATTTTGAAAAATTTAATCGTTCATTAATAATTTTAAGTTTTAGAAACTAATATATTTAAGCAATTAAATTATAAGGTCTTAATTAAAATAAAATAAATTATAAGGATCTAATTTACAATTGAGGAAAATTAGAACAACTTGCACATTAATTTTTCCAAAATACTCCCCCCTTTCAAATTTTAAAATAAACCTCATTAAATACACTTACTAATATTATCTTTTTAAAATAAAAATATAAATTTTTAAAAATATCCATCATTTTATATATTAAAAAGAGAAATGATGAAAATTAATTATAGAGAAAGAAAGGATAATATTAAAATTAGTGTATTTAATAAAACTTTAATTTATTCAAAATGTCTTATATTTTGGAATAAAATTTTTTTTAAATGCCCTATAATTTAAAACGAAGAGAATATTATAGTAAATATTTAAAAATCCTACTAGCCACCAAACTTAAAGTACAGAGGGGATTATGATTTAAAATAGTCCAATGAATAATATAGAATATTTAAAATTTAGAAAAAGTTGTGGCATTCGGAAGGTGTGAAGAATGAAACTCTTTTCTTAAATTCTATATTTATACATAATTTGAAGGAATATATACAAGATGGTGATGTGATATAAGGGCTCCAACATGTCAACCAAGCATGTAACACAAACAGAGGCCATGTAAATCTGAATAAATAGCACACCAAAAGGACAAGACTGGAGTAGTTGACAACAACTTACATGTTCACAGCCACATCGAGTGAAACTGAAATCCCCCTCTGTAGATTCTAGATTCCCAAAAAATCACCGTCCAACGGTTACCAAACCGCACCCACAAATTGGTGTAGTAGCGGTTTTAATTAGTCTCGGCACCAAACAAGGCATTATTAGGTAAAAGTGAGGGGATGAGGAAGAGGGAGAAGAAGTCGGCAATCATTTGTTTCAAGAAAAGAAAATGTGACGGCGAAACAGAGAATCAAATGAAGTAGGAGGAGCCGAGTTCATTGAACGCAGCAGCGGCTTGCGTCGTCCATCTTCGATTCTTTGCTTTTGCCATGTCTCGCAACTTCCTCTCCTTTTCCCCTTGACTAATTAAAACCACCCAACTTTCACATCACTGCCTCTCCCACTTGCTTATTTTTATCCCAACTCCCTCTCCCACTTGCTTATTTATAAAACATGTTGGTTTTTTTTTTATCACAAATTTTTGTTTTACTCTCGCTAAATATTAATGAGAGAAAATATATTATTAATATATATAAATATATAGTTAATAGAAGTAAAGTAAAAAATTTATTAAAATTTTTAAAGTGTTTTAAAATTTTGTTACTAGTTTTTATAAAATATGTTAAAAATAACTTATAATTAAGATGAGAAAGAGTATTGGGAGCTAGAGCCTAGAGGCTTATAATATGCATTTTTATAATATTTTTTGTATTTTTTAATGTTTTATTGGTTTCTACGTGAAATAAAAGACATTTTGATGATTTAATATCTTCAAATCTTAAAACTGCAGGGTTTGATTTTTTTATTATTTTTCAAAAATAAAAGTATATAATTTTATTTTTTTAAAAAATATTAAAATATCAAAACATTATAAAAAGTATATATTAAAAAAAAAGGGAGATAAAAAACGATCCACTGGAGTGTTGGGCAGGTGATTGAGGATGATATGAGCCTCCAGAAATGCAATGTATGTGGGGTTCAGGTGCTATCCCCAATAAAGTGGGACCCCTCACCCCAATTGGCCCACCCACTTGAAGCTGAATTTCCAGTTGAGATGAGATGAGCCCTTTCTTGTATCAATCAGATCTGCCGAAAGCCACCAGACAAGAGATCACGCTATTATTATACTTACGTAAGTCGTTCCTTGCTTCTTCCCCAAAAGAAAAAGAAGAGGGTCTCTGAATCAAATCTTCTGTAAATAATTAAATATCATCGCACTCCAAGGCAATTACGCGTTCACCTTCCAATCCACTACCTGACAAACGAAAGCCCTTCATTTAGCACAAATTTGGAACAGTCCAAATTGCAGCCCCCCATTATGGCCCTTGATATTTTTGGGGGCACATATTGATTTTTATTAAATAACAATAATTTTTTGTAAGGGGATTGTGGTTAAGAAAGTTGCGTGGTCTTGGAACATGACAAAAGAACGGGATGCGCCGAAGAAAGAGGCTGATCACTTGAATTGACGAGATCCTGCCCCAGATATTTGCTCCTTTTTCTGTTAACTCACAAACATGGTTCCTTAACCAAACACTTGACCCACTCTTCCAACTTAATCAATTCTATGTTGTGTCACTGTTTTTCTCCTTTATTAAACGTGGCGAGTTATTCTCAAAACAAACAAAAAGATATAACCTAACATTTATACTCTGTATTTGGAGAGGAGTTGGGTGAGGGTTACTCAGGTTAGGGGGGCAATGGGCTGGCTTGAGTAGCTTGAGAATTGAACAAAATAGAGTAAGGCTCCTGCTTATATATCATATCACAACAACACATGTATTGTTCCATGCTTTTCCAACGTTACATTGTTTTCTTCCGATAGCTCAGGGGTCAGGACGTCACTTCTCAAGTTTTTATGATGTGGGTCATTATATATTCCTGGTTGAGGAATATAATATTGTGTTCATCCAAAGGGATGAAAAATAAATAAATAAAACATTGAAAATTATAAAAACAACAAGAAGTTAAAAAAATACACTCCAAAGCTCTATTCAATAGATGTAGTCTGAATAGAAAGATTCATCGAGCAATTCAAAAAAAAAAAACATTAGAATCAAATAGAAAATATATAAACATTGTAATTTGTTTTTAAATTTTTTGTTTTGAAGTGAACCCAACATTACGTATTTTGAGATAACCTATAAACTAAGGCATACTAATTACTTGCATCCAGAAGGTCCTAGGTGCCTGGAACTTATGTGGTTGTTCCCCAATAGACTCGGAATGTAATCTCAAATTCATTTCTTATTCCACAATCTCCTCACGTTTGGATCTCTCCGTCCTTTAATTTTTCTAAATACATATTTAATTTATATATAACTCACTTTCGTCCATTTGATTATTATTTAATTGAATGGTCATGCATTTACTAGATTGTAATTTTTTTTATAGTAATATTAAATAAATATTATAGTTAGTTTGATATAATAATAAAAAAGGAAGGTAAGTGGGAAATAAAGCTGACAGGGGATATGTAAATAGAAAGAAGGAAAAGCAAAGAGAGGGAAGGAGTGGAGGAGGGGCAAGCTAAGGCTTGAATAATGTTGGGGGATGAACATATGATAACAAGTAACTTGTGTTGTGAGCCACTGACTTTTCTTTTTGTTTGTCCTTTTGGAAGGGTGAGCCAATGAAAATGAAGATTTTTGGGCCACTTGATGTGTTTGAGGTGGAGTCAGTCTGCGCCGCAATGTTTAGTTTCTGCTTCCAAAGGAACGAATCCATTCTTAATCATCCTTAGATTCCCTTCCCTTCCCTTCCCTTCAACCTTATACTTTGCGCAGTCAATATTCTGTTTTCACTTTTCGTAAGACCTCAATTCCTTTCAATTATTATTGCGTAATTATCGTCCCTCTTCTCGCTCGTTATTTTGCAACTAATCACTCCACTTTTTCCTCAAATTCCTTTCCTTCCCACTCCTCCAACTCCTTATTTCAACCATACAATAGCATATCTCTTTCATATTCTGAATATACATAAATTAAATTACGCATTTTAATTTATCTCTCCTTCTCTCTCCCCGATAGGCATATGGCAGTCTTGTTCATTATGTTATTTCGTATTATTCTACATAGAACAAATCAATCCTTTAGTTTTATATATTTATAAGATGTGTTATTGATTTTTTTTTTAATAACAAGTTTTTCAACTTACCCCGCGTTAGAGAAATTAAATATATTATTAAAGTTTGCACTCCCCTTGCCCCAATTTATAAGGATTTTCTTTGGCAAATTACACATTCTAATGAAATTCATAAACTATTGTTTACGATGATTAATTTTTTTTATAAGATTTCAAAATTATCCTTCGTTAATAAGAGAAAGATGAAAATAATTTATTTAAAGAGTGAAATAATGAGGGGTAATATTGAAATAATTATTATTAATTAAACTTTTTTGTTTCAAAACAGCTTATTTTTTAGGATGTCAAATCTCACCTTTAAAAATGTATTATAAATTTTTAAGTAAAGTTAATAAATTTTAATATTTTTTTGATCTCAGTCAAACATGTTAAAAATAATTTATAAATAAAATTAGATAGAATGAGTTTTTGATGCATGATGCATCAACATATATGAGTGAATTTTGATGCATCTTAAATGAGATGAAGTATAATTATTATGGATAAAAACCCATGTACAGGAGAGCTATGCTCATTTGGACTAATAATATTGGAACTTAAACTATAAATAATATATAAATACGTCACCTAAATATGGTAATATAAACGTGAAATTTTATTTAATCGGTGTGGCTTAGATCAATGAAGGATATGATTAAAACAACACATACAGCCCACGATCTCGTTATAAAGTGAGGATGTCGCCATTAATTTTACAAAATGCATGCATGGAATTATGTTGATGTTGGCATACTGGATGGGTATTAAAATAATTAGTAATGTTTTCATCGCGTGCAAGTGTACTTGAATAGTCCAACAAATAACACACTATTTTCCTGGTCAACAAGAAGGCGGAAAAACCAAAGGAAAAGACCCGACGATACGCAGTTGCCACATGCCACTAAAATAAAACGCATGTCAACCTTTGCCACCAAAAATTAAGTTAAATTCAATGTATCAAAAGCAAGCATACAGTTTTGGAGTATCAAAACATAATTACTCGCCCACTTTATGGAGGCTCATCGTTTTGACGTTTGACGCCTTCATCCATGAAGCATATTCCTGTGTTGATACTCTGGATATTCAGTTACAAAATCATCTTTTTCACGAATTTGCAACACTAACAATTCAAAGTTGTATTTATCACTTCATTATTATTATGCCTATTATTTCAGAATTTAAAAACACTAATTTAAAACATTCACTCCATCTTAACATAGGGCCGGCTAAACGTGGATGAACTTATGACTCGGCTCATGTGTCACTCCCGCTTAATAGACGTGTGCTTGTAATATATCTGTAATAAAAAAAAAAACTGGGTACCAAATTAACAACATTAAACTTTTCTTTTTAAGTGGGATGGATCAAGCTAAGCTGTAAGGTTATCGGGTTAAGAGGAGGAAGTTTTACCATTGAACATATGGATCAACGGATAAGTGATTGTTTCAGTTTAACTAATAATATTGTGTTCGAGCCTGAGAATACTGCTCGAAAGAAAGAATCCATCAATGCTCAACAAAATTAATCTGAATTTCCGTTAAGTTTTCTCAGCTTGAGAGCGCAAGCGCAAAAAAGAAAGAAAAGAAAAAAAAAAACGTGGGAGTCACATCGTTTGGTTAGCAAGTTAATTAGGGAAAAATTCAAGTTGGTTCACAGTTACTTTACTTGTTGGTAAAGCGCACACGTTGCTATATTCACGAGTCACAATCCAAGTCGCGTGAGATCTGCACTTAAAAAGATCTCAAGACGTTCCTTCTTAACCTTATGCACCGCATCAACCACGTTCAGGTACTGTGGTGCGTTCGTTGCTTCATTCATTAGCTCACCCTATTTCGGAAATTAAAGGCCTAAATATCCTCATCTATCACGTGCTTCTTTTATTCCCTTCTGATTTTTCATTTTTCTTCATGCCTTCCATCCCTCACATATCTACTCTGTATAAGTAGATACAGGGTCCTCCAGCTTCTTCACACCTTGTACTTGAAGCGCACAGTTACTTGCTCCATTGTCCTCTTCCATTTTCTCCCTTCTTCCCAGAAGCTAACATGTCTTGGGTTCGACGGAACTTCATTGGAAGAGGAAGCTTCTCCACTGTCCACCTAGCAGAACCCACCAGCAGTTCCTCTGAGATTTCTTCTCCTACCGCCGTCAAATCGTCCCAAGTTTTCTGCTGTTCTTTTCTCAAGAACGAGAAACAGGTTCTGGATTGTCTTGGATTTTGCCCACAGATTGTGCAGTGTTTAGGGGATGGGTACAGCTTAGAGAATGGTGTCGAGTACTATAATTTGTTTTTGGAATACGCTGCCGGCTGTAATCTCTCGGACCACATCAAGAATCGGGGTGGTCGATTGCCGGAGTCTGATGTCCGAAGGTGCACGATGTCGATTGTCCAAGGAATCCAGCATATACACGCGAAAGGCTTTGTTCACTGTGACATCAAGCTTCAGAACATTCTTCTGTTCGGCAATGGAGATGTCAAAATTGCCGACTTCGGGCTAGCCAAGAAAACAGGGGAGGAAGAAGAAGAGCAGAGCAGGGAAGAGAAACAGCGCGAGTTTAGGGGGACTCCTCTGTTCATGTCACCGGAATCGGTGAAAGACAACGTGTATGACTCTCCGGCTGATATATGGTCCCTCGGCTGTGCGGTGGTGGAGATGGTGACCGGAAAACCCGCCTGGAATAGCCCGAAAGGATCGGAATTGAATAATATATATTCACTGTTGCTTCGAATTGGGGTGGGAGACGAATTGCCGGAAATTCCCGACAAATTATCAGAAGACGGAAAGGATTTTCTGAGGAAGTGTTTGGTGAAGGATCCTGCGAAGAGATGGACGGCGGAGATGCTTTTGAAGCATCCCTTCATAAAGCAGAGCGACGAAGAATCGTCGCCGAGAAGCCACTTCGATTTTCCAGATTGGGTTTCGAGCCCAAGTACTTTTGCTCCGAATTCGCCGGAATCCGACCAATGGTGTGAATGGAAATTTGATTCGTCATCGTGTGTCGCCAGTTTCTGTTCGCCGGTTGATCGACTCCGACAAATGGTGACGGATGAGCGACCCAATTGGTTGGAATTGGAATCTGAAAATTGGGAGGTTGTTAGGTGAAAATAGAATATCAGAGCAATGACGGAGGAGCAGAGCTCAACCTCGAAGCTATCCGGAAAATTTTTGATAGCATCAAATCAGGTCTACCTCGATTATGATTTTTGTTTGTTTTTTTTTTTTGGCCCCAAAACATTCATTCAGTGACACCAGTTGAGTTAAGGATGTAAATATCATAGGATTAGGATGTGATGAGACTTGATTTAAGAATTTTCACCCGTCGTGTGTACAGATAGAAACATGCTCCAGGTTTTAACTGATTATAATATGCCACCAGTTTTGCGATCTCTGGGCTCGCCTGTTTATTTCCCTTCATAGAATTTTCATCTTCGGGATTTGTCAAAACAAAAGGAAGCTAGAAAAAAAAAGTCTGTTTTATTTTTTACTAAATTTAAGGGATGAGTTGATTTTTTTATGGTTTGGTATATATTTTATATGTTAGCATACAAAAAATATATAAAAGGCGAAGCATCCCAATTTTCTGTCATTTATTTATTTGTTCATTCATTTCAGAGGATGCTTCTTGTCACTCTGATTGCATACCAACATCATCCCCTGCTTTTTTAGCTTTTATGTGTTAAATGACTTCATGCAAACTTGGGGGTGTAAATTTTAGTTCTCATCACTTCGTAACGACGCGTATTGATGCAAAATCCGAGTGTGAAAATTAACTCTGGCCACTTTCCAGATGCTTAGCATGCTCATGCCAATACCTATCACGTGTTGATGCACATTCGCTTTCTTTGGCTCTCCCCACTGCATGCTCATATCAAATCCTCATCTTCACTTATCATGTATTGAAGGGAAACCCAAGTTCATCATCTGCAACAAATTCCATTTTAGTGTTCATCATTATAATAAGCCCTAAATGGTAGTCTAAACCTAATTTGTGGTGCATAGTTCAAATTTTAAGCTCTCAATTTCCAAGTTTTCAATCGATATAATATATATATTTTTTAAAAGTAACTTTTTAAATGCATAAGTCAAGAAAAGACCTAAATGGATCATAATTCTTACTTAAAATTAAAAATATGAGCTTAAAAATAAAAAAGATACTAATGAAATTACTATTATAAATTGGATTACCGTTAATCTTTGTTAGAAAAACTAAAAATCACATTTGAGAATGGATTGTTGGGTATAAAATTAAAATTCACTTGTGACATTTTATAAAAACACTTGTAAATATATAATAGTCACTTGAAAATTTATCAAAATTACTTTTAAATATAAAATTAATCATTTGTGAATTTTTATACTCGTTAATATATAGGTAAACTGTTTGAAAAATCAAGAAAATACAATATTAAAATTATTATAATGGGTTCGGATTATTGTTAATCTCAGTTAAAAAAATAGAATCCCAAGTATTATGGGTTGGTACTACTAAAATTATTATTATGAGTCAAAACTATTGTTAATTTCATTCTTAATTATAGATTATGGTTTTTTCAACTGCAATTAACAACAGTCCTAACCTATAATAGTAATTTTAATAGTTTTTTTTTAATTTTAAACTTACATGTTTTTAATTTCAAGTAAAGATCATGGCATATTATTAGGACTTCAATAATTTATAGTTTTTAATTATAATTAATGGTCTTATATGGTTCTTAATTGTTATTTTCTCTTTTTTTATTCATTATAAATTGCAGGCACTCTATTTACTATAGATGTAAATTGATATTAAACTAATTGTACACAATCACATATTTCAAATGACGCCTATATATGAGTTTCAGACAAAACTATACTTTGATACTGCTTGTAAAGATTAGAAAGTAACCTTTCAAAAACAAGAGGGGAGAATAAATAGACAATAAGTAGGAAAAACAACACCAAGTCTTAACTCAATTTTAATGATTGAGTTTATGGGTCATATTATTTTGTTTTACATTACTTATTAGTTCCAATTCTACTTTGAACATCCTAACAACTTTTCTCTCAAGTAATTAGCTCATTTATGTTGAAGACATTACAAATGCTAATTCATATCATTGCAATTAAGGCTAGTCCAATTTTCATGCTACAAAATGGTGAAGTACACAAATCTAATTTTGGTACCACTTATAATAGGCAGTGTGAATGATAATCCTAAAATAAAGAGAGAACAAATGAACGATGAGGAGTGAAAGACACTATAACTTAATTCAAAATTTTAATGTTTTAATTTATAAATCCTTCCATGTGTGCTTAAGCAAAATTATATATCCTTCCATATATATATATATATATATATAATTAAATATATTTTTATCTGATATTAAAATCCCACTTCAATTCAAGTCACTTAGACTTTAACATTCTAATAGTTGAGGATTGAAATGAATGGGGGTTATCAACACACAGAACTCACAATAATTCACTATTAAAGAAACTAGACTTAGTGGCATGTATTTTGCATCAATTAAAAATGAAATGCTATTAAAACAAAAGTTGAAAAACTATAGGTAGTGTTTCCAACATAAAGTACCACTACTTATCAATTATTTTTAATTTATAATTTAATAAATAAACAGGGGGTAGCATTTCCTTCATGAAATGTCGCTGCTTGTTATTTCTGAACAAGAGGTGGCATTTCCACATGAAACACCACCGAATAATATAAATTTAAAATATTATAAATTAAATTATGAGACTAAAAAAATAAAATATATAGAAACCTTAAATATTTTTAACAAGTAAGTTAAAAAATATATAAAAATATTATTTTTATTATTCTACTTATTTTAATTGTTGATGTCAATTTTTTTACTGATTAAATAATGAAAGAAATTTGAATTATATTTAATTAAGTATTATTACATATATAAATATAATAAAATGAAGAAATATAATAAATATTATTATTAGTATTAGTATAAACTAAAATATAAATATTATCAATGTTAATTAATTAATAACTATTATTAATATATAGTAATAATTACAAACTGAAAACACCCCAAGTACTGTTTCCTTTTTAGGAAACGCCACTTGCGAAGGTTTTTTTTTTAATTAAATTTAGAAAACTTTTAGGTGGTATTTTTCAAGGAAGAATACCGAAGAGGTTTTTAATTAAAATTTTAAATATTTTTAGGTGGCATTATTCGCCACATCAGTTTGTTTAAAAAATTGAATAATTATTATTTTATTTATAATAATAATTATTATATATATTATTACAAAATATTATATTTATAATAATTATTAACACTAACAATATTCATATTATAAACAACGTCAGGTGGTCTTTTTTTTTTTTTCAGGAAACGTCACCTGAGATGTTTCAATTTGTAATTATTACTATATGTTAATAATGATCCTTGATTAATTAATTAATTTATATTAATATTATTTATATTATAATTGACATTGAAACTAATACTAATAATAATGAAACAAGCAACGTTTCAACACCCTAAAACAGTAGTATTTTATTTTGCTCTAATTATTTTTAGGATAGCTTTCTCCAGTCGCATATTTTCACCAATCACTTCACACCTAAAATTTCTAAATACTAATTTCTAGCTAGTCACATACCTTCTGCCATTCTCATCTGGAGTTGTCCCTCTAGAACTTTAGGCTTTGTCATTGGTCTGAAGAGTGAAAGAGCAAGTTTCTTCTATTGTCGTCATCGTCTCGAGTTCCTAATCCCTCCTCATCTAAATTTTCATTTCTTTGTAGCTAAAGGCTAAATCTGTTTCACAAGTGTTGTAGTGAAGACATTCTTGAATTCTCTTTGGAAGCAAAGAAATCATTGCAAGATTCAACTCTTGAATTTGGAAATTTTGTTGCATTATTGCCATTACATCTTTGTCTTATTGACAGTCAATAAATACCTTTACATTTTTCTTAGGAAAAAATGCCATAAACTCCCCCATTGGAGGGAAATTGTTTAGAGGAATCAAGACTAATTTAAGGACCAAATACATGCAAGCTTATCCTCTTGCATCTTGCACACCAAGCCTATTAACTTGCATACCAAACCTATGATGTTGCACCCCAAGCTCATCACCTTTCCCAAGCCTGTAACCTTGCACCCAAGCCAACCTTACATCTCAAGTCAATAACCTTGCACACCAAGCTTCATGACAACAAAGTTACATGTTAGCTTTTTAAAATGCCATTTAATTTCATGCTTGTGGTCTGAACAATCCATTGTCCATTTTATTATTTTCCTATAGGCTGTCACTTTTAGGATAATAGATTGTATTTTCATGAAAATTTCACCTTGTGCAAGGTAATAGACTTGGTGGGCAAGGTCATAAGTTTGGTGTATAATGTGATAGACTTGGGGTGCCAAGTGTGCAAGTTGATAGGTCTAGTGTGCATTTGATCCTTAAATTGATCTTAGTCCCTCAAAACAATTTCCTTCCAATGGCAAATTTTTCCTTTTTCTTACTTACAGAGTAGAATACATCAGACTGTGTCCGAATGCTCTAATGGGGATTTCTTAGAAAATGGTGTTATAGGTGAGTACTCTTTTAGTTCTTCTGAAGATGGTGATTTGGATTTGGCTGCAATTCGTATTTTTCTGGTATTGAAAAGGGGAATTAGTTTTTTTGGATGTAAAGAATACATCAAAATGGTTAATATATGCTTATTACAAGCCAAAAAAAAAAAGGATTAATAAGGTCCTCAACTTGATAGCACTGACAGATTGTGTTTGAGATATTGACAGTCTAGGATGTTCTCTTTTTTTGTTAATAACTTTGTTATGTTCTCTGTTTTTATTTTTCTAAACACTTGATTCTCTAGTAGGTGATTGATCTAGGCGAGGAAATATGATCGGTGGAGTTATTCTAGAAGCTTTAGCTATGATTCTAGCAGAGCGATCCCTGAATCTTTCTAACTAAAGTTTTTGAGGTGATTACAAATTGATTTGACAGATATTTCTGGTATAAAATCCCTCGATGCTAAATGTGCATTCTCTTTCTTGTCTTTTCAGTTAAATTTTATTTGTGTTTTTACAGGAAGAATTTCAATTTGTCCTCTTTGATAAGTTTCCTTTCCCCTTTTTTACAATCTAGAGAGATGAAAACTATGATGTGAAAAATATATAGAGGAGTGAGGTGAGTTCTTGTCCAAATATGAAATGTCAATATAAAAAGAAGAAGAAGATAACTTGAACCTGTGTCCTTCGATTCTATGAAATCGTAAATCATCGTACATTGAAAGAACTTAATTATGACAGCTAACCAAATATGGATATATCATTTCATGTGTGTGCTAATGGAGTTTAAAATCTTATTTCCAATATGAAAAACTTAATTATGACATCCACTCTGTGCTCATAAAACCTAAT